ATTATCACACAAAGGGAGGTACGTATAAATAGCGTGGGTTATAACAAATATTATAATTGAGTTATTGGATACATTGTATGTATTTTTACTTCAAATTGCTGATTTTCACCTTTAATATGTAACATACTAAATCACTTCCCCATGTAAATGGCATGTACTCGTAGTAGATGAAACAAAACCAACATGGAGTGATTATTTCGCTCCGGTATATATATCAGATATTCTTTTATATTTTTTTCAATTTTAACAGGAAGCACTTGGATGTGGTCTTGGGGTATACGGTTATCAACTGGTAGATTGGACTGGCTTTGATATAATCAAAAATACTTACGATGTCAACATCAGAATTGATGACCCACTTGGTACCAAGAGTTTGGAGTATTTTGTTCCACCGCGATTAGGACGATTGATGTCAACGTCTCACCACACGACCTCTTACCTGTATGCAACAAACTGTGCTAAAGACTGTCTAGCCCTCCCTCCCTCCAAGTGTCTTAGTTTTAATTATGACTACGGTGAAAGCGGATTGTGTGAGCTTTTGGAAGAAGTTGAAGGTCATGATGTAGAACTACATGAAGTGAGTATCTCTGTGTTGAACATCATCATATTATGTGTACTACATGAATTTAGTATATCGGTCTTGAACATCATCATTTTATGTGTACCACGCCACATGAAGTGAGTATCTCTGTGTTGAACATTATCATTTTATGTGTACTACATGAAGTGAGTATCTCTGTGTTGAACATCATCATATTATGTGTACTACATGAATTTAGTATATCGGTCTTGAACATCATCATTTTATGTGGACCACACCACATGAAGTGAGTATCTCTGTGTTGAACATCATCATTTTATGTGTACTACATGAAGTGAGTATCTCTGTGTTGAACATCATCATATTATGTGTACTACATGAATTTAGTATATCGGTCTTGAACATCATCATTTTATGTGTACTACATGAAGTGAGTATCTCTGTGATGAACATCATCATTTTATGTGTACTACATGAAGTGAGTATCTCTGTGATGAACATCATCATTTTATGTGTACTACATGAAGTGAGTATCTCTGTGTTGAACATCATCATTTTATGTGTACTACATGAAGTGAGTATCTCTGTGATGAACATCATCATTTTATGTGTACTACATGAAGTGAGTATCTCTGTGATGAACATCATCATTTTATGTGTACTACATGAAGTGAGTATCTCTGTGTTGAACATCATCATTTTATGTGTACTACATGAAGTGAGTATATCTGTGATGAACATCATTTTGTTATAAATGGACAGTTTTATATGGTGGTAAAATGGTTAAATTTGTTGCAGAGATGGTAACTCTTAATAATATTACTGTCAATCAGTGTAAACAGCAATCAAAATGAATAAAAAAATTACACATTACAGACTGAGTGGAATAAACGTGTTTTTAAGAAGAAGCAGTCCAAGGTGTTTGATATAACTGTGTTCTGTTTTCGGTTACAGAGTGGCATGTTTTATAACTTTGAACGTCTTGGTATTGGCCATGCTGTAGAATTCCTTCACAATGACCTATCACTCAGACACAATGGCTTGTATGTGTTCAATCTTCATCTTAATAACACGTTAGGTGAGTATTGGTCACACTGTAAAGTTCATCTTTGATAACCAAGCACACATACTCGATGCCTTGTATATGTTTAACCTACCTCAATCGCAGCAAACTATTTGTGAGTATTTGCCATCCTGTAAAATGTATCACTCGCACATAAAGAGTGGTATATCCATTTTAAATCCCGAATCAAACATTGATGTCAAAATGTATGTGTTCCTATCATCGTAATTCCACAGGTTATAGTAATGTTATTAGTTCTGAGGGAATACTGGTAGATTTTACAACACCGGAACCAGGACCGATCAGTAATGCCATCTATGATGAAGTCAACCATGAGACCTGTACAGAATATGTACCAGATGAGTGGGAAAACAGATGTATACAAGAAACGCCATTACCAAATCATAGGTAACCTTTTGACTACTAATTGCTATTCACAATGTTAATTTGATTGGCCAAAACCAGGTGGTTACAAAATGTAAACCAATAGCATATAACTAGTAGCAGCAAGGGCGTGATTTAGAATATAGACTATGCAGTAGTTTTTCACTTCACAATTGTTATTTACTAACAGGCAATTATTGTACATATACGTAATACATCAAACATGGCATCTGCGATGTCTTTGGTTTTTTAACAGGTCTATTATTGATGGTCCAGGCTCAATGTGTGTATTTAACGGTCAGGAACCTTTGATTGATACTTTCTATACAAGAGCCAATAAATACGTTTCAGGTATTTATATATTATATTGTCTCATGCATAAATTATGATATTTGGAAAATAATCTTGTTTGGTAAATTAACACAAA